GCTCCACACTCACTTCATGGCTTCTGCTTTGAAAGCCCGCCCACATCTTGGTTTACATAATTTGGGCTTCAGTCTAGCCTGCACTGCACAGAGGTGACCACAGCTCAGGGTCCCTTGAGCTCAGTGCCTGAGGGGTCAGGTTTGGGGCTTAGGGTGCTGCTTCCGGATAGCGCCTCTTGTGTGGGGAAAGAAAGAGAAACTCATGACTTGTGTGGTATGTATTTAATAAGCAGCCCCTCCATGGGCCTGCCTGGGTGGGGGAGGGTCCAGCAAGGAGGACCTCTGCATGGAGGGACTGGGCCACCTGTGACCTAAGAGGGTGGGTCGGAGGAGATAGCAAGGGTAAGGTCTGAAGAGGGACAGGGGTGAGGCCGTGCTGGGTCTGCGTCAGTGCTCAACCCTGGTTATCTTTCCTCTGGGCCAGCGGTTCTCAACCTTCCTCATGCCTCAGCCCTTTCATCCAGTTCCTCATGTGGTGGTGACCCTCCAACCATACAATTATTTTCGTTGCTCCTTCATCACTGCAATTTTGTTACTGTTAGGAATCGGGGGCGATCCCTGTGAAAGGGTCGTTTCACCCTCCCCAAAGGAGTCTCAACCCACAGGTTGAGAACCGCTGCTCTGGGCCATTCTATGAGGCAGCCTGGGTTGAGGGCCTTGCCCACCAACCACCGTGTTTCTCTTCCCAGTTACTGGGCTGGGCCTCTTTCCCTGGGATGAACCCAGAGTGGTTGGCCTTTACTTCCATGCCTCAGCCTTTCCCTCTTCCGCTTTCTGAGAATTCCTCTCTGTACCCCTCAACCCTGGCCCTTCGGGGAGCACCGGGGTGCATCCCAGGCTGCAGGCCAAGACTCATCCAATCCAACTCTCTGGCCGCACAGACAGGGAGGCAGGAGACTGTGCGGTTCCACAGCATGGCCATTGCCAGTGGCAAGGTTGGCACCAGAGCCCAGCAGCTATCTGCCTGGGTCTCTCTGTCCTGCCCCCGATGACGACCAGTAGACGACCCATGTTGTCTAGATGTGATCAAAGTGCTTTCACTTCCATTATTGCCTGTCGTGCATTCAGTGGAACAGGGAGACTGAGAACGATGAGGTGTGGGGACAGTGTCACACGGCAGACGGAACTCAGGCTGCCTTACCCACTACTCGCTGGTCCGGTCTGGAGGCCAGACCCGAGGCCTCCCCGTAGCCAGGCATGGACCCTGGTGATGGAGCATTAGCCAGCACTGAAGGGGTCTGGCCAGGCTGGGCCAGCAGAGTCTGGCTACAGGTGATGTAGGAAGGTATTTCATGTTCTCACCGTGAATCGCTGACCCAACCGCAGGCCCTCAGTCCGTGCTGCTGCTGCGAAATAATCCTCTCTCTGGAGATGTTTGGTTCCCCCCACCCTTTGGAACCAGACATTTACACTTTCATCTGATGAAAATGTCCAAACAAAATGTGTGGAGAAAAGAGCTGATGCCCCTCCATATCCCCATCACCGCACCGACCAACCGACCATTGTCAACACAGTGCAGTCCCAGTTCTTCGTTTTCTCTCGCCCACTGCCACCTCTTCTGTCTGCAGAGACATTAGTAATATTGTAAAGTCTAGCAATATAAGTAATTTGTAAGTGAGTCATAGGCAGTATATTATCTCATCCACAAGTGACTTTTAAAAAAGATGTGTTTAAAAACGCACGATCAAAAAACATGCACTATCATCCCCAAACTTAAAAAAACCCCAAAATGCCAAACTCAGTTCCATCAAGTCAATACTGACTCCGAGTGACCCTTTAGGACAAGGTAGACCTGCCCCGGTGGGTTTTCAAAATGGTAACTGTTGATGGCAGTAGAAAGCCTTATCTTCCTCCCCGTTTGATAAACATCCATCAGAGATCCTTAAATAGTATCGGGTGGTTTTATATGTGTATTTGTGTGTTTGACAGCCCTCACACTTTCGATCTGCCCTGAGGGGCTACTTTGGGGGCCCCAGGGTCGCCATGGGAAGGGGAAGCAGAGGTTGCTGCTCCGTCTCCTTTCATGCGTCTCATGGACACCGCTCCTCAGCGTAGGCATCCCGCCATCCCCGAATCGCCCGCCCCATGTGTGTCTTCTGAGCTTGGTCTGAGAAGTCAGTGGTCATTTCCTCCTGCCGTGTGCTTCTGAGAAGCTAGACCTGAGCACAGAGGCCAGCTCCCGTTCCATCCTGCTGCCATGTGGGACCCAGGGGCCTGCCAGTCACCACCATCCCACCCACCCACCCCCGTGACCTTCTTCCCTTTTGAAAAACCCTTCCCCTCAAGGCCCACGCACAGCCCTGCAGCCTTTTGCCGCGGGCTGACTCACTCCCTCCCAGATTCTTTGTCTCCCACCCACCCTCAACCCATTCCACAGATGGACCCACAGCAGTCATGCTCTCGCCACAGGTGGGATGGAGTGGAGCATGCGTGTGGGGAGAGGCCTTCCGGGCTCAGCCTGGTGGAGGTGGCTTAGATGGGGCTGGGAGAGGGAAACTGAGGACAAAGAAGCAACCTCTTGGTTCCACTGGAGACGCTTGGGCTTGTGTGTTTGCAGCGAACATGAGCGGCCTGGTCGGGCCCAACCCAGACTCGGGCCGGAGCTCCGAGCGGCAGCAGCGTGTGGTGTTGTGAACTTGCTGCGCAGTGCATGTTGGCTGATGGTAGACATCCTCAGTAGAGGAAGAGAGAGGCCCGCTTCTCTCTGCGTGTGGGTGTGTATTAATTGCTGGCAACCCCCACTTTTCGGGGTCTGATTGGTTGATTATTATAATTAAGCTAACTTTGGGGAGCTCTGTTGTTAAACAGCTCTGTTGGCTGCTGGGTGGCTGGGTGACGGCTGGGGTTGAGGCAACCACCCTCGGAGCTACTAGTACGATCACTTCCAACCTTCCCCACTCAAAGAACTGTGTAGGCCTTCGTTTTTTTAAATTTCACTAATTTTTTTTTTTTTTAGCCGAAACCTACTTTCTATCAGGTCTGACGGGCTTCCTTTCTCTCAAGGGCAGGTGGAAACAGCTTTGCTGATTGGTTGGGCTGTGTGCCAGTCACTGTCGAATTTCTATTAAGTGGGTCTAAGGTGGAAAGGCCTGTATGTCCAAGCGTAAATCACATTTGGATAGGCGCACAGCATGGCCAAAATAGCTCCCTGAAAGGCGGTACCAATTTACAGCCCCACCCAGAGTGGGTGAGGGGACCAGCGGCTCCGGAAGCCTCATCAGCAGTGCTCTTGTTGGCCACCTTTGAGGCGGTGTCCCCCTCCCTCCCCGGCTGCAGGTGAGCCCCTGCGTGGCAGAGCGTGGCAGAGCGGCAGAGCTCTGCAGGGCTTGGCCTGGCTCTCATCTTTACTGCAATGAGGTGCTTGGCTGCCAACTGAAAGGCTGACGATTTGAACCCCACCAGCAACTCTTCAAGAGAAAGCTCAAGGGCTCTCGACGGCTCCCACGAACACAGCCAGTTCCCTCCGTGGCCTGGGGCTGCAAGGAGCTGGAGCAGACTCCACCGACAGTCCCGAACAGCTGTCTTGACATGATGGAAGCAGGCGGCCCAACCATTGCTTTTGTTTTTCCTCCTCATCTCCACCCTCCCAATCCTTATATATCCCTAGTGGTGTAGTGGTTACACATTGGGCTGCTAACCTCCAGGTCAGTGGTTCAAAACCTCCGCACAAAGACAAGGCTCTCCACTCTCGTAGAGTTACAGTCTCGGAAACCCCCTCATGGGCAGTCCTGCCCTGTCCTATAGGGTCCCAGTGAGTCAGATTCGACTCTGTGGCAGTGAGCTTAGAGTGTTTATATGCGGCAATTTTATTGCGTTTCTGGTGAAATGCTATGGCACCAAACTGGTTCCCAGACCTTTGCATCTGCGGAGTTGCAGGGTAGCTTCCTTCACCAGTGTCCAAACTCAAACTCACTGCATCAGGTCGATTCTGACTCACAGCAACCCTGTAGGACAGTGTCTCGAGAAACATGCCTGTGGGTTTCCGAGACTGGGACTCTGGAACCAGGGCAGAAAGCCTCGACTTCCTCCCTGTCGCCAGCACCAGACGGTACCAACTTTTAAAACATTTTGCCAATACGAATGACAAAACTCTCGCCTTGTTAACAAGTTTGCACGTATTTGATGCTGCTGCTATGGCTCGCCCAGGTGTGCAGGGCTGGGAAAGGATGGGAGGCCTCCTGGGATTCATCTCCAAGAAGGGTGGCCCTTCAGGACCGCCGAAGCAGAATCCGCAGGCTGGAAGCCTATCCTGTGAGGACGGGCCTATGGCTGCCAAGTTCAAGGACTCCATTGCTCTCTCTGCTCCTTCCCAGCAAACCAGAGGCACTTCTGGGATCCCAGCGGGTGGGCCCTCTCACGGTGAAACTGGGACCTCCCTTCTCTCTATTTCCCCACCCGCTTCCTGTGTCTCCTCCATTTCCCGCTGGTGTTGCGTGTCCTGTCTGGACACCAGGCACTGCGCGCAAGATCAGAGTGTTGTGATCCGTTTGGGGGCCTGATTTTTTTTTGGGGGGGGGGCTCATCCCCAGGCCTGTGTTCCCAGCCTGGAAGCTCTCTTCGCCCTGTTCAGCAGCACAGCACCACGCAGGCCTCCACTGATAGGTGGACAGTGATTGGGTCTGAGGCACCCGGGTCTGGAAATAAACTCGGGCTCTCCCGCCTGAGAGTGCACACTACCAGGGACTCACCCGGCCCTCCCCTTCAGACATCAGGATGAGACGAAGAGGCAGAAGCCGGAGCGTGCCCTCCACACAGGACGACCCGGCCCTGCTCTCTTCGCAGGGAGCTCTCGCCAAACCTCTCCGAGCCTCCGGTTCCTTAAACGTGACATGGCAAACCAAGCTGGATGGCTCGAAAGCCTTGGGGGAGGAACTGGCTGGTGTGTAAGTCAGGGAAGGGTGCATTACATGATCCCTTTCCACGCCTGTATCTTCTCAAGTCGGAATAGGAACCCACCACAAGATCGGAAACAGTCGAGTGATTCGACTGCTGTCGGAGAAGGAGTTGGTGGTAGAAATGGATCGGAAATATCTGCTCACACCCCACCCCCCCTTTTTTCAGGCCCCGTTCTTAACGTTTTGGTTTTTGGGTTTGCCCGTTCCGGCCAGGCCTTGGGCTTCGGACTTTGGACCCGGGGTTCCGTTCGGGCCGGGGGCTTTCCGGCTTTTGGGCTTGGGGGAGGGGGTGGAGCAAGGTGGAAAGGGAGGATGCGCTGAGTTGACTACCTTCTTAACAGCTTTGAGAAGAGAGCCGGTGAGGAGCTAGGATCCCCAGTTATAGGTGAAGAGACATTGGTTTGATGTCGAAATTAACTTGTTTAAGCTCACTGGGCCAGCAGGGCTCCTCTTCTCAGCCTGGAGGGTCTGGGGAAGTCGGGGCGTGCAACCAGACCTTCCTGGGGACCTTCGCAAGGTTGCGGGGAGTATTGTTCTAGGACCCTCTGAGAACCAACACCTTCCCCAAAGGGTAGCACAGTACTTGGCCCAGAAGGAGGGGACGAGAAACGGGTGGGAATGGAAAGCCCTTCTCGGCAGCGTTTGACCCTGCAGCCCGACTCTGTTCTCCCCGCTTTCGTGGGGAGAGAAAGACTGAGTCTTTGAGCCTGATGATGGTCTGGTGCGCCGCCGGCGGTGGTTGTGATGGTGATGATGTCGTGGGGGCAGGGGCTGCAAGTGCTGGTCGCAGTCGTGGTAGAGATGGTGGCGATGGTGATGAGAGTGATGGTGATGCTGGTGCCATAGCCGGCGTACGGGGAGTGGTTGTCATGAGGACGGTCATGGGATTCATGATGGTGGCATGATGGAGGCGGTCTTGGTTATGGAAGTGCATCTTTGCTGTAGTCCATTCCTCTTAACCGGATGGAGAAAGGGGGGGCGGATGCTGGATCCTGCCTATCGTGTCCACTACTTTTTTGGGGAACCAGACTTTGTGAGTATGAGGACCCGGTTAATAAAGTCCACTTTCAGGTGGATGGGACGTTCCCTGTTCACCAAGGACATTAGCTACTTCACTAAAGTCTGAGGCTTAAGGCAAGCCACACCACGAGCACCGGAGTTGGAAGAAGGGACCAGGAGGGTGTGTGAGAGGGCGCCATGGGGCTAAGGGTGCGCCGCCAGCTCTGTGAGCCACAGTGGAGAGACTAGGTGGGGGACAGGCCAGACTAGGGACTGAGGCCTGAGGCTACTAGGAATTGCCTGTGGAGGATGGGCTAGAGTCTTGCTGTGTCTGATGCAGCAAACTAAAACTCAAGACACCTCTGTACTGGTAAGTGCTTCACAACCAACCCATTGACTGGCGAGAGAAACAAAGAGCCCTGATGTGTGATGTTTGCTGATTACGGTGGTGTAAATATTCCTCCCGTGGCTGACTTTAAACTACCGACCGGGGAAAGATGCGCAGCACTTCGTCACGACAGCCTAATTCCACCGTACAGGTTCGAGAGGCGCCCATAACCACAAGAGCATCGATAAGTAACCGGGAATGGATGTCTCTCGAGTATGTGTGATCTTTTAGTGTTTAATAGAATGTGTTTAATGGGAAGTTTACGGGATGCATTTTTGACCGTGGCGGTGTTTAACAACTGTCTTTCACACTTCCTGAGCGTGTCACCGTCGGCTCTCCCGAGTGGGTGGGTGCACTGCAGTGCACTGCTGCCCGCGGCGCTGGGGTTGACATTTCTGTTCTCCCTAGGAGGATGTTCCCGTTTCTCTCCTTTACCGTGGCCGGGCTGGAGCCCACCAGCCATTACCGGATGTTCGTGGACGTGGTCTTGGTGGACCAGCACCACTGGCGGTATCAGAGTGGCAAGTGGGTGCAGTGCGGAAAGGCAGAGGGCAACATGCCAGGTATGTGGCTCTTGGTGGGGGGGGTGGGGGGGTGCGTGCGTGTGTGTGTGTGTGTGTGTGTGTGTGTGGGGGGGGGTGAAGAGTGGGCACTCCGTTTTGGCAAGACAGGGTTGCCCCCTGGTGGATCCTGGAGGAACTCTCAAACCCCAGGTCCGACCCCTGGGTGTCAATTCTCCATCCCAACTAGCATCCCCTGCCCGACCGCCAGCCCCTCCTACGTGTTTTGTTTGCTGTCTTTTCTGTTTCGCTCTAGCCTATTGTATTAGTTTCCCTGAGTGGCCTGGTAGCAAATGAGCACAAATTGGACAGGCTTAAAACAACAGAAAGTATGGTCTCACAGCTGGAGAGGCTGCAAGTCTGAAATGAAGGGTCTGGCAGGGTCTTGCTCCCCAGCTCCGGGGAAGGTTCCTTGCACCTTTCTAGCCTCTGGAGGTTCCGGACAGCCCTCGGTGCTCCTTAGCTTGAAGATGCATGCCCCGGGCCTCTACCTGTGCCCCCACCTGGCCTTCTCCCCTTTCTACACTACATTCCAGCAGGGGTGCAGAAGCTTTTGTATCATTTCCCCTTCTGATTTAACAATGTACCTTTTAAAGCAGGACAACCAATACCAGGGAACTTGCCTGACTCCAAACCAGAAGCACTCATTAGGGACTCTTCATTGTCATGTACATTTCGGCTCTTAGCTCTCAGAGAATTTGATTTGAAAGACTGAGAAAAAATTCTTAATAAATCTGTTCAGCTGTTCTTGAAGTACCTTTTTCTCTAAGTTTGCCAATAAGGCCACCGGCTCATTGAAGCCGGCTTGCCCGGCAGGCGCCTGACACTGTAGGATTTTACCATCTTGTAATGTTCTGTCTCAGTTAACCTCTCTCCTTCCCTCCATGCTGGAACTTAGTGTAGAAAAAACGAGAGGTTGTGAAACCATCAAGCAGGTTTGGCAGATGGTTGGGGGAGACCGCTTGGGAGAAATCTTTCTGTATCCCACAGCTGTGTCTCTGCTCTCCAGTCAGGGCACTAGCCCATCTGGTTGGCATCCGCAAATACCTTCTTTCCAAGCACATTCACATCCACAGGTCCCGGAAGAAGTTAGGCCTGCAACATCTCTCTGGGTGGGTTCTGGCTGATCTTCGGATCACACCTGTTGCCGCCTGTCCTGGCCACTCTGGTCCTTCCCTTGTATCCTTCAGAACATTAAGAACAGGCAAAGTCCCCCCATCACCAGGGGTGTGGTCCCGGGGCTGCACACCAAAGAGAGGAATTGTCCGCAGGAAACCGTCAGTATGTCCACCCCGATTCCCCGAACACGGGAGCCCACTGGATGCGCCAGGAAGTCTCCTTCGGGAAACTGAAGCTCACCAACAACAAAGGGGCCTCCAACAACATGGCCCAGGTAGGACCACCTCCCACCATGGGGGGTGGGGGGGGAGGGCTCTCCCAGGGGGTAGCTCAGCATGCCACCCCCCTCCCCCTGCCTACCTCCACCCCCTGCTGGCTCAGACCCTGATCCTGTTCTGGAAGCATCACATCGCTTCCTTTCTGGGCTCCTCCGTTCATTTCCACCACCTTGGGAGGATTACGAGTTGGAAGGACGCTGAATCTCAGAGGGACAGATGACTCTCAGGCAGGGGTGGCGTTCAGGAAGAGGCTTCTCCCTGAGTCCTAATGGGCACCGAGCGGGCCCCAGGCATCCCAGGGAGCCGTGCAGAGGGCTCGGGGATAAGGGGAGCCTGTTCGAATGGCCCTTAGCCCCGAAAAGCTCTGCTTGTGCATACACCTCGCTGAGAACAGGTGTGGGGAAGACAAAACAGGGCAGGAGACTAGATTTCGTGTCCCCATGAGGCTGGAGACGCTGGGAGAGGCCACCTGGTGGCAGGGCAGGTGGATGGGCGGATGCCTCCGGGTGCTGTCTGGCTTTGCCGTGAGGGGGCAGACGGTGAGCCGGCCGTCTTGCTGTTCCTCAGATGATTGTGCTCCAATCACTGCACAAGTACCAGCCCCGCCTGCACATCGTCGAGGTGAATGAAGGCGAGCCGGAGGCGGCCTGCAGCGCGTCCAACACCCACGTCTTTACTTTCCAAGAAACCCAGTTTATTGCTGTGACTGCCTACCAGAATGCCGAGGTGAGGGCCCAGGGTGCCTGGGCCAGGGCCTGCAGGGCACATCAAAGGAGCCCTGGTCTCCCTGGGGAGGGATTTGTTTGTTTGTTTTGTTTAATCATTTTATTGGGGGCTCATACAATTCATCACAATCCATCCATCCACTGTGTCAAGCACATTTGTACATTTGTTGCCATCATCATTCTTAAAACATTTGCTTTCTGCTTGAGCCCTTGGTATCAGCTCCTCATTTTTTCACCCTCCCCCCACTCCCCCTCCCTCATGAATCCTTGGTAATTTATAAATGATTATTTTGTCATATCTTACATGTTCCACTTCTCCCTTCACCCACTCTTCTGTTGTCTGTTCCCCAGGGAGGAGGTTATATGTAGATCCTTGTAATCGGTTCCCCCTTTCCACCCCACCCTCCCTCCACCCTCCTGGTATCGCCACTCTCACCACTGGTCCTGAAGGGATCATCTGTCCTGGATTCCCTGTGTTTCCAGTTCCTATCTGTACCAATGTACATCCTCTGGTCTAGCCAGATTTGTCAGGTAGAATTGGGATCATGATAGTTCAGGCGGTGGGGGAGAGGAGGAAGCATTTAGGAACTAGAGGAAAGTTGTATGTTTCATTGTTGCTACACTGCACCCTGACTGGCTCATCTTCCCGCGACCCTTCTGTTGGGGGATGTCCAGTTGTCTACAGATGGGTCTTGGGTCCTCAATCTGTGCTCGCCCTCTGGGGAGGGATTTTAGCAACTCCTTAGCCCGGACTCAGGACTCAAGCAATTCTCTTTCCCTTCTCCCTAGATTACTCAGCTGAAAATTGATAACAACCCTTTTGCCAAAGGATTCCGGGAGAACTTTGAGTCGTAAGTGCAGTGGGTTCAATATTCCCTGCAGAGGGCCTCCTCCTGGGCTGGCACCCCACCCCACCCCACCCCCCGCTGCCCCCAGGGTGGGCCAGGGTTGAGGTGGGTGCTGGAGGGTGGGCAAGCCCTGGAAAGCATAGGAACAGACAGGCTTTACAAGACCAGCCCCGCTGAGCCTCCCTGTTCTTGGGTCTATTTCTCTAGCATGTATGCATCCGTTGACACCAGCGTGCCCTCCCCGCCTGGACCCAACTGTCAATTGCTTGGGGGAGACCACTACTCTCCGCTCCTGCCCAACCAGTATCCTGTCCCCAGCCGTTTCTACCCCGACCTTCCCGGCCAGGCCAAGGATGTGCTTCCCCAGCCGTACTGGCTGGGGACGCCCAGGGACCACAGCTATGAGGCCGACTTCCGAGCGGTCAGCATGAAGCCTGCATTCCTGCCCTCCGCCCCTGCACCCAGCTTGTCCTACTACCGCGGCCAGGAAGTCCTGGCCCCTGGCACCGCCTGGCCTGTGGCTCCCCAGTACCCCCCGAAGATGAGCCCAACCAGCTGGTTCCGCCCCATGAGAACTCTGCCCATGGAGCCGGGCCCTGGCACCTTGGAGGGCCGGGCACCGGAGGACCAGGGGCCCCCCTCAGTGTGGACTGAGATCACCTCCATTCGGCCAGACTCCAGCGACTCGGGACTGGGAGAAGGAGACTCTAAGCGGAGGCGGGTGTCCCCCTACCCTTCCAGCGGGGACAGCTCCTCCCCAGCCGGGGCCCCATCTCCTTTTGATAAGGAGACCGAAGGCCAGTTTTATAACTATTTTCCCAACTGAGCAGGCACAGCGGAGAAAAGAACAGAAGCGTGCTCGTTGCCGGGGGACACCGATGACTTAGACAAGAGACTCAGGGCTGAGAATCCTCGGCTCCTTGTCCCTTCTCCAGAGAGTAGTGGGTTGAGGGAAGAGAGGGGCCAAGAAGGATTCTGGGCTTCCCTGGCTGCTTCCTTGTCCAGCGTGGGCTGTGAGCAGCATGGCCCTGCCCCTTCCTCCGCCCCAAGCGCCCTCATGTTGCTGGTGCTGCTGCAGGCTTCTGCAGACCACGGCGGACAAGAAGACCGTGGCTTGGACATGCTTCCTTCTTCCTGGCGGGGGAGGTGCGCCAGGCCGGAGGAGGCTGGGGACTGGACTGGACTTTCAGCCCTCTTCCTTTGTAAAGTACCTTCCAGAATTTTTGTTTGCGTATGTGTTCATCCCTGGCCTGAAAATAAATATTCATGGGTTTTACGACGTCCACCGGCCAGGGCCGGGGAGAACACGCAGGTGGCTTGGGGCCTGGGCCCCGTCCAGGCCTCTCTGAGGAGGGAGCTGTCCAGAATCAGGGGCTGGGAGGTGGGGGGCTGGGTCCATCTGAAGAAACAAGGTCTTGTTTGTGGTGGTGGCTGTGTGTGCCCGCGTGCTTTTCCCCCCTCTCTCTCTTCTTATTTTTATTTTTTGGAACAGGGGAGGCTATTTATTGTACAGAGAGTGGTGTCTGGATGTATTTCCTTTGTCTCCATCACTTTCTGAAAATAAACACGGAACTGTTCAGAGTGGCTCGCTTCAGCGCCTGGGGGTGGGGGTGGGATGTTTCATTGAGAATTATGCCCAGGCCCCAGTTAGCTTTCTGCTCGCATTTGTGGGGGCTGTCCGAGAAACCTGAAGGGGCTTCATTTGGAGGGTAGAGTGAGTTAGAATGGCCATCCGTACTGCCTGCCCCACCCCCCCCCAGCACTTGGCGTGGCGGTTAAGGCCCCTCTGAAGGCCTCTTGGGACAGATGTGTGCCTCTGTACTGCCCGGGGTGGGGTGGGGGTGGTGAGAGCCAGGCCAGAGGACCTGGGCTGGGGGCCTGGAGGACACTGCAGGGACAGTGCCACCTTGATTTTCTCTTTCCATGTCTCCCTCCATCGCCACCTCAAGCATTAAAGGAGTCAATGAAATGACTTTTGTGTCGGTCAAAAACATTAAAGTACCAGCAAAGGGTTCCCCCTAATGCAAGTCCAGGGTGCGGAGACCACGCCTGACCGCGAGTGAGCTCTCACTGTGATGCTCCTGTTCATCCGCGTCTCTGTCTCTTTAGACACACGAGTAAGCTTGTGAAACAGTGCGTGCTTATTTTAAGGGATTCAAATGAAGAGAAGTATAAAGGGGGCAAAATAGTCCCCTCAAGCCCCTCAAGAATGATCATTTCCGTGAGACGAGGCGGGTTGGTGTTGGTGTTGGTGTTGGGCAGTTCTGACTCACAGCGGGACCCTACTTCCACCGGAAGGAAGCGCTGCCCGGGCCTGCGCCGTCTTTACGGTGGTTCTGACTTGAGCCCATTCTTGCAGCCACCGGGTCAACGCTGTCCTGATGGGCGTCCTCCTGTTCACTACCCTGCTGCTTCACCAAGTGCGACGTCGTCTCCAGGGACTGGTCTCTCCTGACCGCATGCCAAAGGACATGAGACGGAGTCTCGCCATCCCGGCTTCCAAGAAGCCCTCTGGCGTCCGTCCTTCTTCCAGGACAGACTCGTTCGTTCTTTAGGCAGCGCGTGGTGCTTTCAATGTTCTTTGCCATCATTCAAATGCATCGATTCTTCATCGATCTTCCTGGCTCCGTGTCCAACTTCCACCTTCCTACGAGCGATGGAAAGTACCGGGACTTGGGTCAGGCACACCACCGCCCTCAAAGTCCCCGCCCTTGCTTTTGAATGCTTTGAAGAGGTCTCGCGCAGTAGACTTACCCAGTGCCATGTGCTGCTTGGACGCTTGACTGCTGATGAGTTAGACAGACAATATTTTATAAAATTAGAATCATACTGAAAATGCCTTTCCGCCAGATGAAAATTCTTTTGGTTTACAGAATTTGACAGCGCACAAAAGAAAACTCTGAAACTCCTCAGGAGAAATGGTGAGGCTTGCTGAACTTGAGAGGAATGTTGCATATACGCATCTGTGTGTGTGTATGTGTATATATATATTTATAAGAGGTGGGTATTGCCGCTGAACAAGTTCCAACTCACACTGACTCCAGGCACGACCGCCCAAAGCACTGGCCCAGCATCTTCCCACACCATTGCTACGCTTGGGGGGTTGATCTCTATTGTAGATGCTCTTCTCTTTGACTGACCCTCTGTTCTACCAAGCACGATGTCCTTCTCCGGGCACGGGGCCCTCCTGAGAACAAGTCCAAAGGACACGAAACGGAGCCTCCCCACCCTCACTTCTACGGCGCGGTCTGGCTGTACTTCTTCCATGAGAGTTACTTGTTCTTTGGGCAGTCGCACGATTGTCCGCTTCAAACTGGCTAATCTCAGTCCATATGCTTGACCGGTATCCTAATTCGAAGACATCAGTTCTTCAGTCTCCCTCATGGCTGTGAGGCGACTGAAAATACCAGAGGCACACTTTACTCTCCCCAAACGACACCTTTGCCTTTGAATATGTTCGAGGTCTTTCAGAGCAGATTTACACAATGCAGTACGTGTTTTGATTCCTTGACGGCTGCTTGCATAGGTATCTGTGGTAGCTCCACAAAATCCTTGACAACGTCTGTCTTTGTCGAGCACGATGCAGCTTATCGATCCAGCTGATGCAAGGACGTTTGCTTTCTTAGTGCAGAGGTGTAATCTACGCTGAAGAGTGTCGTCGTTGATCTTCATCAATAAGGTCGCATCATCTGCTTTCTGCAAACGAGTTGTGTCACCTGCATATTGAAGGGTGCTAAGGAGTCTCCCTCCACTCCTGATACCGTGTTCCTCTTCCTACAGTCCAGCTTCTCCGCTTATTTGCTTAACGTGCAGCTTGAATCAGTCTGCTGAGAGGCTACCACCCTGACACACACCTCGCCTGATTTTAAACCACGCAGTCAGTCTCCCCTTCTTCTGTGCCCACAACTGCCTCTGGATCCATGTACAAGTTTCCCCGGAGCACAATGAAGTGTTCTGGGATTCCTATTCTCCGTGAAATTTATAATTTGTTAGGATCCACACAGTAGAACGCCTTTGCATAGGCAGAGTAAAAAATAAACAAGCAAACAGACAAACATCGTTCTGGTGTTTGATCCAAGATCCATTTGACATCAGCAAGGGTGCCTCTTGTTCCACGTCCTCTTCTGAGTCTAGCTTGGACTTACAGACGCTCCTCCCTGATGCACCGCTGCAACAGTTGTTAAAAGATCGCCAGCGAGGTTTTACTTGCATGAGGTATTAATCATCGTGCGTGATAATTTCTACATTCCGCTGGATCCCTTTTTTAATCATCTTATGGGGGGCTCGTACAACTCTTATCATCATCCATACACTCATCCATTGTGTCAAGCACGTTTGTACATTTGTTGCCGCCATCATTCTCGGAACACTTGCTTTCTGCTTGAGCCCTTGGTATCAGCTCCTCCTCCCTCTTCCACCCTCCCTCCCTCAGGAATCCGTGATCATTTATCATTTGTTATCATTCTTCCATGTCTTACACTCACTGATTCTCCCTTCACCCACTTTTCTGTTGTCCATCCCACTGGGAGGGGGTTATGTGTAGATCATTGTGCTCGGTCCCCCTTCTCCCCCACCTTCCCCTTCCCCTCCTGGTCTGGCCTCTCTCAGTATCGGTCTGGAGGGTTAATCTGTCCGGAGGATCACCTTCTTTGGGATGGGCAGGGATTGTTGGGCCAGGGAGCTGTGTCCCTAACTTCTTGGCACATCCAAGGGAGCTCTTCAAACAGCGCGCCTCTTTGCTGAAACATCTCACTCGTTGCTGCACCAATTCTTGGAGCCTTGCTTTTTTTTCTTCTTGTCAGTGTCTTTAGGGTGAGGCTTCGCCGTTTCCCTTCAGTGCAATCGGTATGGCTGAGTGGCCAACCACTCACCAGTTTGTTTTGGTACCAAGATTGTCTATTTCTTTTCTTCTTTTTTTTAAAAATCATTTTATTAGGGGCTCATACAACGCTTATCACAATCCATATACACACCAATTGTGCAGAGCGCATTTGTACATTCATTGCCCTCATCATTCTCAAAACATTTGCTCTCCACTTAAGCCCCTGGCATCAGCTCCTCATTTTTTCCCCTCCCTCATGAGCCCTTGATAATTTATAAATGATTATTTTGTCATATCTTGCCCTGTCCGACGTCTCCTTTCACCCACTTTTCGGTTGTCCGTCCCCCAGGGAGGAGGTCACATATAGATCCTTGTCATCGGTTCCCTCTTTCCAACCCACTCTCCCTCTACCCTCCCAGTATCGCCACTCACACCACTGGTCCTGAAGACTATTTCTATCTTCTGTTAATGCTTCTTGTCTTGTTCAATATTTTGCCCATCGGATCCTCCAGTATTGAAACTCACGGGTTGAGCCTTTTTCTTCAATTTCTTCCCTTTTGGTTTTCTAACCCTGGATCTTTGCGCATTTCGCGGTCATCCTTCATTCGGTCCCCTCTGATGCCTCCACTGTCTCAGACGAGGACTTGCCTGAGGGTCTTGCCTACGCCCTGCTGGCCGATGCTCAGGGGCTTTTCTCTCTTGCTGCTTCTGAGAGGGCAGACGTGGCTGGGCCCCTCCGGTTCCTGTTCCCCACACCCTGTCTGCGTGAACCCAGCCAATCAGTTGGCGGGAGTTACAAAGACATGGCTGAAAAGAGCCCTTCCACGTCTTTCACTTCAGCCCACCGCCTGCGGCTTACCCCACCCGGGACCATCGCCCGGGGCTTTTCCTCAGAGACAGCCACCATCCCGATGTTGGTGTCTACTTTTCCTTGCTCTTTAAAATGAATACATATGTGTGGTGTATGTCTATATGTGTCTAGTGTCTACTTAGCTATTTATTTTGAACTTTATAAAAAGAGGCCATCTTTGGGGGCTTGGCTGTTTTACTCAACACGATCCCTAGGATTCACTTGTTGGTTCATTCATAACAAAAATGTCAGAATGTAAAGTCTTGT